ATCGGTGAAGTCATTTGTATGTAGAAATCTCTGATGTTGGAGTGTGTATTTGTTTAACAGTGATCTGGTGTACTGCGGCATTTATGACAATGCCCTGGATAATGACAACTACAACTGTGCGAAAGGATTCAACTATCACCAAGGACCTGTATGTTTTCATACCTTAAAGGGATAGTTTGCCTAAGTTGTTCCAAACCTGTATGAATTTCTTTCTTCTGCTGAATGCAAAATAAGATATTTTGAAGAATGTGGGTAACCTAATGGTTTCGGGTTCCCATTGACTTCCATAGTATTTTTTCCATACTATGGAAGTGAACGCGGACAGGTTTGGAAGTAAATGATGAGAGTTTTCATTTTTGTGTGAACTATCCCTTCAACAAGTATAAATTGTTTCAGATGTAAGAGATTTCATTGTTTTTTTAAACTATGCACATTTCATCATTTACAGGAATGGTTGTGGCCAGTTGGATACTTCTTACGAGCCAAGCTTTATTTCGCTAAGAAAATGGGCCAGGAGAAGTACAACAAAAGCGTGTACCTCGTCAAGAATGTTCTGTCTAGACTTTATACCCATTTAGAAAGGTATTGCAGAGCTCAGACTAACACAAAAAGTTTAATTTCTTTCAAAAGAGGCGAGTGATTTGAATCTACAGAAGATTGAGTTTAGAAATTCAGTGTTTGAGTCATTTGCACAGTATACAACATTTCATATGTTCTCTTTGATCTAGATCACCTTGGAAGGGTTTACCTGAGCTGACCAATGAAAATGGACAGTACTGCCCGTTCAGTTGTGAAACACAGGCTTGGTCCATCGCCACTGTTCTGGAGGCCCTATATGATTTATGATCATTTCAAGGACAAGCTCTCATTTACTTCTTGCCACCTTTCTGAGAAGTTCAGAGGACATTGTTTTACATTCACAGCTTTGTTGTGAACTTTGTGCCAACTCACTTTTAAAGAGGTTTTCTGTCATGTTTACACTCTTGTTAGTTACTACCAGCAGACCAACCATTGTTGGTTAAGAAGCAGGTTTATACCCATTTGTGATTATTAAAGTACATATGATACTCTCTCAAGACAAAGAATAGATTCCTTACCTTTAAATACAGCTGGTACTTTATTTCATTATCTAAATTCATATTACAAATTCTTACAGCTATTACACACAGGTATTCTTAGATCTACAGTATGGGCGGTCTTTCTTTTTTGCCAAGTCATGGTTGCTTCATTGTCTGCCCATGGGCAACAGAAACTCATTGTTCTGCCTCCATGAACCTACGGTACACAACAAACTAACATGACGTACATGTTTTAGTCTCACTCATGCCTTACAAAGATTATTTTTCAGTTTTGATCTAAGAGTGACAGCCAAATAAAACAATCCATATAACAAACAAATTAGTCATCATTTGTTCAGTGTAATTAACCCACTATAGTACAGTGTTGCCATATAACGCCATGATTTTTCTTCTTCTAGCTATTCAGTACAGCTAGAATTGAAAGGGGATTTAAATTCACTAGGTTGCCCCTACAAGGAAAACTGAATTCTGAAATTAGCGAAAACTGAATTTTAACAAAATTCTAAGTTTTCTGTAATTTTTTTCTGAATCAGTTTTTTTTTTCTCTGCATCTTTTCTAATTAGATGTTGTTTACAGACTATTTTTTTTAACCTACAGTAGTTTTACAGACAGTGGAGAAAATGTCAAGTATATACAGTGTGTTATTTAAACTACATTGGAAGTTTAGTTATGCTAATTCTCATTGGACATTTTTATTGATAACAGTAGCATCAGTTGCTAAATTCATGCTATGTTTTATTGAATAACCAAACTGCAAAGTTAAGCACTGCTTTAAAGAACAGTATAAAATAAATAATAATGATCCACTTTGTCTTTTTAGGAGTTGCAAGCATATACTTGCATCAATCTGCAAAATAAACAAATTAATTTAGAGGAGAAATTTGACTATTTTTCATGAGTTTCACAATTTTTCACACTGTTTACCCCATATTTTAAACCATGAAATATGTTAATAATAATAGTTGTCGTTGTTTTTGTTGTTATGTGCGTTTCCCACTTTTCAGAGATCTTTATCATGTTTATTAAATTTTCATCTTTAAATTTTCAATTTAAAACAACCTAGTTCCCTTTCAGTCGGTCACTCTCGACGTAACGTCGGATGACCGACGAATTGGGATCTAGAGAGACCAATCTACTTCGAGTGTAAACAAAACGAGCCAATGCACATTGGCATGCGATTATTGCATCCAGCTGCCGCTGATCACAGTGTGAGTATAAGTAGGCAGCCGGTGCAGCGCATATTGAGCTTTTCACTTCGGAGCCGAGCAATCACATCGTTCTGCTCCTGACTACTCTACTGAGAGAGGAAGACCGAATGAGTTCAGCGCGCTCTTTGAGAGCTCTTCGTGTTGGCGGTACGGCGCTTCAGCGGTGGTGGTTTCCCGTGTTGAGTGGGTTGCACACATCAGGCTGCACTACCCCCTGTTTGTGTTGCAGGCGGCCATCTCCCCTGTGTGCTTCAGCACGCTAAAAGAGCTTTTTCCTTAAAAGAGGATACATGGGTGCATCTTTTTAAAGACAACATTGCATGGCAAACTCGACGTTACGTCTTCGTAAAGACGATGTGGGTCTTGCTATAGACAACGTATCACCCGGGTGTTTCTGGATGCGGTCGTTACCTGGCGCTGGGTAATGGTCACGACCGCTGCCTCACGTGCCTGGGCATTTAGCACACTGAGGTGGCGTTTGTGGATGAGTCATGTTCTCATTCCGGGAAGACGATCATCTCGGACTCGTGGGTCAAGCTCTGTTTCCTCAAAGGGGCGGAGCTCTGTTGCCTCTGCCTCGATCTAGTTCTCGTCATGGCGGCAGTCAGGCGGGGGCTACTTCAGGCAGTAGCACGGGTGGTCTGAGGGTAACAGTGATGGCAAACCCTCCAGGGAACCAACCCTCGGGGGACCATCACTCCTCTTACACTCCGCAACCAGTTAAGCAGCCAATGGAACGTGCTGGGCCCTCTACAAGGAGCATACCAGCAGTATCCGTTGGCGTTCCTCCCGACGACCGGATGTCGATCGCTGCATCGGCGGGTGAGCCGGAGCTTTCTGGAGAGGAGGATTCGGCTGCGCTGCTGTCCTCTGGGACTGTAGCAATGCCTGAATCAGATCTGGAAATAACGGCTATGCTTTCCCGGGCCGCCGTGAGGGTAGGGCTCGAGTGGAGACCTCCACCGTGTCCCGAGCCCTCAAGGTTGGACGATTGATTCTTGGGGTGGTCCGCGCTGGTTCTCCGTGCCCCGCCCCGGTGTCATTTTTCCTGGAGGTGGATGAGGGGCTTACCAGGTTGTGGATGGCACCTTTGTCTCCCGGAAACCGACCTGCTAACCCCTCCTCCCTCACCACTCTCAACGGTGGTGCAGCTAGGGGGTATATGAGGGTCCCCCGGTGGAGTGGTTGGTTGCGATGCAGTTGTGTCCTGATACTGCCTCCACCCGGCAGGGCGAACCGTGCCTTCCCTCCCGGGTCTGTAAGTACTCGTCTGGTCTGTCCGGTGATGCTTTTACGGCCTGTGGAGAAGCTGCCTCCGCCTTACACGCTACGGCGTTACTGCAGGTTCTTCAGGCTAAAGCACTGAGGGACCTGCGCGAGGGTGGTCAAAAAGAGCTCCGAACCGCAACTGATCTCGCACTTCGAGCGACGAAGGTCACCGCGAGTTCTCTGGGTCGTGCGATGTCCACACTTGTGGTCCAGGAGCATCACCTCTGGTTGTGTCTGGTTGACATGAGGGATGCCGACATAGTTTGGTTCCTCAAGGTCCCTGTGTCCCAGACCGGCCTTTTCAGCGACGCAGTCGAGAACAAGGCCCAGCAGTTCTCGGCTGCACAGGAGCAGACTGAGGCGATCCGACGTTCTGCCCTGGTGGGCAGCTGCTGCCTCCACCTGTCCACTGGCCGCAGCGCCCCAGCCTGCTCGTCGCCGAGGGTGGCCCCCTGCGTCCACCCCCACTCCCGTGCCACATCTGTTTTGGAGGCGCTCAGGTAGACCTTTTTGCCTCTCCAGAAACCTCTCAATGCCAGTTGTTCTACTCCCAGACCGAGGGAACACTTGGCAGGGTTCCCTCGGAACCGATCTCGGCCCTTCGCCGGTTACCGTTCAAGATGTTGATGCAGGAACGCATTTTCTGGTGCATCCGTCCCCGAGATTAGTTTGCAGCAATCGACCTGAAGGACGCGTACTTTTATGTGTCGATCCATCCGCACCACAGACCATTGCTGCAGTTGGCCGTGGGGCCTGCACAATTATGCGTTTCCCCAGTGAGCCTTCTTGCACAGACACTCAGAGACAGGTCACCTTGTGGAACTCTGGAAACTCTATGTCTGGTCCCTGGACGGGACGCGGAGGTTCTAGGTGACCTACCCCAAGAGGTAGTTGACACTATCACTTTGGCGAGAGCACTGTCTACGAGACATGCTTACGCCTTGAAGTGGAACCTGTTCGTCGAGTGGTGTTCTTCTCACCGAGAAAATCCCCGGAAATGTCCGATCAGGGTTGTACTGTCCTTTCTGCAGCAGGGGTTGGAGCGAAGGCTGTCTCCCTCCACCCTTAAAATCTATTTGGCTGCGACTGCTGCCAACCGCTACCCCGTCGAAGGGAAATCGGTGGGGAAGCATGACCTGATCATCTAGTTCCTTAGGGGGGCGAGAAGGTTAAATCCTCCATGGCTCCCCTCCATACCTTCTTGGGACCTGTCTCTAGTGCTCAGAGCGCTACAGCAGGGCCCATTTGAGCCTTTGCAGACAGTCGAGCTGACGTTTCTGTCAATAAAAACTCTGCTCCTGCTTGCATTGGCCTCCATCAAGAGGGTAGGGGACCTGCAGGTAATCCTGAGGCCCCGGCCCGGCTATGTGCCCAAGGTTCCCACTACTCCCTTCAGGGATCAGGTGGTGAGCCTGTAAGTGCTGCCGCCGGAGTAGGCAGACCCAGCCCTAGCTTTGCTTTGTCCCGTCCGGGCATTGAGATGCTACGTAGATAGAATGCAAAGCTTCAGGACCTCAGACCAGCTCTTTGTCTGTCACGGAGGCCGGCAGAAGGGGAATGCCGTCTCTAAGCAGATGATGACCCACTGGATAGTGGATGCCATCACCCTTGCTTAACAGGCACAGGGTGTGCCCTGCCCATTCAGGTTGAAATCTCACTATACTAGAAGTGTTGCATCCTCCTGGGTGCTGGCTCATGGCGCCTCGCTGACAGATATTTGTAGAACTGCGGGCTGGGCAACCGCCAACTAGATTCTATAGCATTCATGTGGAGCTGGTATCATCCTGTGTTCTCACCTCAAATGGGTAGAAGTACTGAGAGGCCCCGGCTTCGGGTCAGCTTGCTAAAACTGATCCAGAGAGTCCATATCGTAGACCCTGTCGATCTCATCCATCCCCTCGGCAGCCAGACGTGGCGGAGCGTCCAGAGCCAGGCCCTCACTCAATGAATCTGTGAGAACCGGTAGAGGGCTGGGTTCCATATATTGAGACCTAAGTGGATCCCATATGTGTAAAGTCCACGGTATAGCCTCAGAGCCCGTATTTCCCCGGCAGACTTCTGCCATTTCCAAGAGGGTTACAATCCCCTCTAATCTTCCATATGCACCTAAGCGGTTGTCCATGTGTGTAAGTGCTTCCAAAATCTCCTTCGGGAAGGATGGGGCTTCTGCAACGTTCCTGTCCCAAGTGGTACGGGTACGTTTTCCCAGTGTTATCCAGTCTTACTGAGTGGGTAGTGCCATAGCTGCAGTAACTTCTGGTCTTCTTGTGGTAAGCCCTGACCTGCGCAAAAGAAGGGGCGCAGGAGGCTTCCACAGGACACTGGAAGGGGCAGTACCTGTGGCCCTTTGGTAGGCATCCCAATTCGTCGGTCATCCGACGTGATGTCGAGAGTGACC